ATGAAACATCTGGTTGCGGTCAAAGCCAAAAAAAAAAAGAACATTCTAATTTTGGATATATGGATGAAGATAAGGGCTGGATTGACATGACCAGCTCCAGTTGGAAAACTGTCCCCGTGTGGACACCACTAAGAGTAACAAAGTCTCTGGTCACAAGGCCAGACCTTTGATGAACCCCCAAAGGAAAAATGCCTTGATTTTCCATTAACCACCGTTTTATTTTAACCACATCTGTTCTCTTCTCTATTCATACATAGGAGGGGTTACTGGTTGATGGTTAGCACATGTCTGACACATAGCTGCTGAAAGAACTCTGAGGATATGGGTTGCAAAATGTCAGCCCCCCTTCTCCCCCCCCCCCCCCCCACACACCTTGATCTTGGTTCACAGAGGAGCTGGTCTCTGAGCTCTGCCCTCGCCTCAGCAGGAGACACACTGCTCAGAGTAACAGCTGTTCCCCTGGGGAGAAGCTCAAATTCAAGTCTGGCTGACTGAGGAATCCCAAACCTGCCCTCCTCCTGTGGGCCTTCATCAGGACATTCTGGAAGGACCGATTTGGGTTCAGCCTCCCCTGTGAAATTGACCGAGGCAGTTGGTACCCCCATTCTAAGTCACTTCTGCCTGGCCCCATTGCTGTTTTCCTCTCTCTCACAGCTTTTGATTCCAGGAGCTTCCCTAATACTCCCCACCCCCTGCTTCCCAGGAACCCACCATGACAATGAGCAAGTGGCCGAGGCCCACTTTGATTTCAAAGTGAGTGAGTGTGACCAGGCTTTCAGAAATCATTTATCCCAACAACTGCCCTAGTAAAGCAAGAATAATGACCACAATAATATTTTGATCTACAAACGTTCCAAAATTTCTCCATAGAGCACAACAAATAGTATTAGTGCTAGTTGATTAAACAAACACAAGTACTACTAGTTGATTAAACAACTACTAGTTGATGAAACAGACAACAAAAAACATACGAGAGGCATTGGGGACACCACGAGCACAAACGCCTTCCAAAAAAAAAAAAGTGCACAAATTTAGTGAAAAGTGCTAAAGGACCAGACGAATAATTCATTAAAACAGAAGCCAAACCTTGGGGGAAAAAATGTCATTTTTAGGTAGCTAGAGGATTTGATAGTCCTATCTAGGAATAATGAATATCAGGATCTAAACCCTTCACGTGCTAGTAGTGGCTATTGAAAACGCTCTCTGTGTACACGCACACAAATCCTTGCAAATGGTGGGAAGGGGCATCGAGGCTTTTTGGATTTGTTTTTAACGTCCCTGGGTCAATGAACTTCTGAAAAAAACCAATACCTGTGATTCAAAACCAGTGGTGGCGGGAGAAGGGGAGCAGAGTCGAGGAGCGCATGGAGGGGTACTCCGGAGTAGGGGCTCACTGGCCTGTCCCTGGGGTGATATTTGCCCGCAGGGGCCCAGGAGGGCCTGGAAGAGGCGCACCTGCGGGGGCGCAGAGCTTCTGAGTTTCCTGCCTCCTTCCTCCGCACTGAGTAGCCCAGACCCCAGCGCTCGGACGTCTTCGCGATCCAGATAAAGACTGTCACTCGAAACTCACCCGCTCTCGCTTCCTTGGTCCTTGCCCTGCACCGCCAGGGTCCTTGGGGGGCCGAGGTGCCCAGGTTTTTTCCGTGGTTCTTCGCCCCGGCTGCCCTGCCTGCTCTCGGGCGCCACCACGCGTCCGGATCAGGGACTGCAGCGCCAAGGGCCAGACGTTCCTGCGCTTGGGCCCCAAGTCCCGGTCCGCAGCGGCGGCTCCGGGGACCCGGTAACCGCAGAGCCACCCCGAGCCCAGGAGGCGAGGGGCGCGGCCTCCCGGGTACAGCTGACCCCCCAGAATGTCCTCCAGGGCTAGGAAGGGGTCTGGGCCCGCGCGCGGAGCAGCGTCCTCCGAGCCCCGCTGGGGCTCGGGGATCCGGGTCCAAGTCCCAGGACGCCCCGCTCGCGGCTTGAATCTTTCTGGGTCCAAGGCGGCGGCTTCAGAAACACTGTTTACCCGGAAACACCGTTTCTTACGGCAAAATACGGAGTTTTCCCTTCTCCTTTCTTACAACATATGGCAGGAAAACATTTGTTTACGCGCCATTTAGAATTTGGACAAGAAGCGTGAGCGCCCTGGCCGGTTAGCTCAGTTGGTTAGAGCGTGGTGCTAATAACGCCAAGGTCGCGGGTTCGATCCCCGTACGGGCCAAGCGTGCGGACTCGTATTTTGCCCTACGAGGCTGCTTGCCATTATTACCTTACCCACCCTCCGAGAAAGTGCGTTTGAAGAACTTTCTTGGCACTTTCCCTCCAACTCCCTTGCCAGCGGAATTGGCACCTTAAGCTCGCGCAGAGGACCGACACCCCAAAAGCAAACTGGGAGCAGAAACTTCTCCGTTAGAAGAGGCGCTCGCAAGGTCCTCTGCTCTGTTTTTCCGTAAAGAAATTCTCGTGCAGAGAAACTTTTTTTATTGCTTCCTCCGAAAACAAATTGTAAAGCCATCCATCTTTCATCCTGCCTCCCTGTTCAGTTTGAGATCTGATTTAATATGAGAAAGAAAAATATCCCTAAGGAAATAAAGATATGTTTAAAAATTTCCCTTCGATCTTTATCCCATCAGCCTCCATATCATCTACCTGCCACTAGTAAACTGTGCTTAGTTTTGTAATTATCCTCATTTTCTTTATGCACATATACATAAACATTCATGTTGCTTTTATTTTTCTTCTTTTGCACGTAAAGGACAGCATAATTATTTGCTCACTGCTTTTGCAATTTTTAAATTGCGTTTGCAATTTTTAAAATATATCTCTTGAACACTTCAAGTTGCATTTCAACCTGGTCCACTGTCAAAATCAGAGTTTAAAAGATTTGGTCCGACCAGGAGGCTTAACTATTATACAAAGTGTAAGCTTTTCTAACCCAGCTGGTGGAACTGATAAGACTGTAAGGACAGTCTCCACAACACCAACAAAGGAGTTTTTTCCCTTCCCCATATGATTGTCAAAAGCGTCCATGCTTCCTATTTTTCTGATCATTTTCTTGCACATGGCTCAGAAAGCTATTTCTATTCTTATGCTTAGTGTGCTCAATACAAACATGAATTCTCTTGGCAAGAATCTGGCCCTTTATCTGTGTGTCCACCTTAATGCCAACTGCATGCTGGGTATCAGTAAGGACAGTTCCAGTGTTGCCATGGTAACACATGGGCATTCCTTTTTGAAGTGTCAGTGTCCACCCCCTTGATGGCTAACATATCGCCTTTCTCGTGGATTCCTATGTATGTGGCCAATGGAGCAAATGCATGTTTTCTAAAAGGCCCAGGTAACATATAGGGACTCCTTCTCTCACCCTTCATGCCACTCATTTTGGCTGACTTACTGGAAGATGGCGCTTGAGGCCAAAGCTTGAAAAATCTTCCTATAGATATATTGTCAATCACCATTGAATGAGGATAACTGAAACCTCAGAAAGCAAAACAACAGGTAAGGGATAGTTGCCATACTTACACAGACAGGCAAAGGAACCAAAGATGTGTAGATCCCTGGATTCCTGTCCCACACACCAAAATAAATAAATAAATGAAAGGATGACCCAATTTGTAGGAGACTCTTGCTGAGTAGCCAACTTCTGCCTGTAGACAGGTGGTTTATAGTCCCAGGAGGGTTCAGGAAAAAGGACACAAACTTCATTAGAATGGTAGAGGACAAAAGAATCTGTCTCAGGGCCTCCTTGGTGGTGCAAGGGGTTAAAGCGTTGCACTGGGAAGCTATCCTCAGCCACTGGAGCATGAGGTTGATCCCCAGCAACAGAGTGACACACATGGTGCCAGAGACCTCTCCTGTCTTGCCCACTGCTCCTCTCAGCAGTGTGTTTTGGTCAATCCACCTGTCCTGTTCCCCATTCTGTCTCTGGTGAATCTTCATACCCCACCCCCAGCACCTCTGGTCTGTTCTTGTATGCATAAATAGATAAATCTTTTTTTTTTTTTTTAAAGAAGGATCTGTTTCAAGGCTGCTTCTGCCTTCTATTACAGATAGAACAACATGAAAATTAAAAGTGTAGGTAGGCACAAATTTGAACATACTTATGCATTTAGCACACAGATTAAGAAACACGTGTTCTGATTAAAAAAAATATTTATGCATACAGAACAGAGGTATAAGCCAGAGTTGCAGGGGCATTGAGAGGATTCATCAGCGTCAGAGAGGTGAGCAGAACAGGCAGAGTAACAAAGCACATTGCTGAGGGGGGCAGCGGGTGGGTCAGGAGAGGTCTGCTACACCATGTGGGTCACTCGGCGGGAGGCAAACTCACACAGAGGCTGCTGCAGACAGCTTCGTAGTAGTAGTGCTGTGCTTTAACCGGTTGCACCACAAAGGAATGCCCGTTCTGACTTTTGATTTTCAGAAAACCATGGTTTAAAATACTGCCTTATTGCTCAGTTGATTGGCAGCTTCCTGGCAACTCACGCTCTTGAGGGAGCATCTCACACCCCTCGTTCCACTCCTGGCTGGATGGCGAGGTGGCTAGATGGCTGGATGGCTGGGTGGCTGGGTGGCTGGGTGGAAGGAAGGAAGGATAGCTGGCTGCCTGGAGCTTCATCCATGTGTTTCCATTTGTTAGGAGAATGAGGTTTGGGTTATAGATTATAGATTAATGAGATTGTCGTGAGTCGATGATGATAGAAGATATAGAAACCTAGGATTTATTTTACTATTCTATTTTTGTACCTATACGTTTGAAAAATTTCCACACAATCTCTGTCAAACCCGACAGGTCCCGGGGCTATTTACAAGACAGCGCAGCAGAACTGAAGACGCCAGCGGTTCTACCGCGCTAGACATGACCACAGAGACTCAGAAACCTCCAAGCATCCTAGAGCGACCCGAGAAGGCCTTCATGGCGCCAAGCCAGCCCGTTCCCTAGGCGACCCCGGAAGCCCGCGCGTGCGCGTTCTTGTTTTCCCGGCATTCCTTCCGCCTCCCGGAGTCCAGTTCTTGGAACCCGTGGAGGAGCAGGTGGCATTACCTGGGTGGCGGGCGGAGAAGCCACGGCGAGCCGGCGCTCCCGCGGGGCGTTTGGGAGGGAGCGAGATGGACGACCCGGCGCAGACTCGCGGGCCCGGCGCAGACTCGCAGCGGCCGGGCCTGGACCTGCCGCCGGAGCCGCCTGACCGGTGGGCGCTGAGCGGTGGCGGTGACCGTGGGGGCGGGCGGCACGCGGGCTTCTGAGCTGCAGGCGCTGGAGAACAGCCGTCGCCCGAGGCCTGCACTGCTTGGGTGTGCTGCCTGGTGACTCTGGAGCTGGGCTGGGGGACGAGGGAGGCTCTGTCTTTTCAGGCCCTGCACTAGGCCAGCACAGACTAAGGTGCTCGGTGCTCCGTGACTCCGAGTGTGTGTTTTCTCAGTTGTCGCTTTCCCCAGCTCCCAACAACCTCTAGCCTCTGCTAACCTCCAACCAACGTTACTATTTTCTTAAGGCTCTTCTCATGCCTTTCATTCATGCATCTGTGGTCTTACCCATCAAAAAGCAAGGTCATGTGTGCTTTACGAATCATGGACGTGTGCTTGCTTCGGCAGGACATATCAGAGTAGATTAGCTGACCTCTGCACAAAGAGAACACGAAAATTCGTGAAGCAGTCCATATTTAAAAAAGAAAAATTGAATGCCAGAAATGGGAGCCGAGTCGGTACTTTTAAGTTTTATAGCAGCCACATTTAAAATGAAGAAAAAAGAAACATATTATTGATGGAATTAGTGCATTTAATGTATAATAAAGCCTACTATATGCATAATGTATAACATATAAACCCTTTCAGTCTCTAAAGGACACCGGAAGTCATCGTCCTTTTGGCTATTGTGAATATTGCTTCTGTCAGAAGTGGGTGTACAAATATCTGCAAGACCCTGCTTTTGATTCTGTGGAATATATATACTCAGAAGTGGAACGACAGGGTCATAGAATGCTACTTTTAATTTTTTGAGGGTAACACTAAAAAAAGCATTGTTCTTTTTTAGGTGGATAAAGTGGAGGAAAGCGAATTCCTGGACAGCAGGATTGTAAATACACGCAGCCCTGAGAAGCAGCTTGGCAACTTTGGTTAAAATGTGTCACGACCGCAGGTAAGTCTGGGGAGGGAAGCTTTATAGATCACAGGCGTGTGGGGGTCACTTGCATAACACCCAGTGCCATCCAGTGGAACTTTCCAGAATGATATGAATGGCCTACGCTATGTTGTCCAGTGTGGCCGTCACTAGCCACATGTGGCTATTGAACACTCGAAGTGTATTTTTGCTTTATTGACCTTCGTTGTCATCTCTTTAGCTCCAGATGACTAGTGGCCACCAAATTGCACAGTACAACTCTAGGCTGTAGATTTAAAAAGGAAGGTGACATGGGGCCTCTCTGGTGGTGCAGGGGATTTAGTCTCAGCACTATGAAGCTATCGGCAGCATGATTTTGATCCCAGCCAGGGAGTGACCCACATGGTGCTGCAGACCCCTCCTGTCTCCCCGCTGCTCCCCTCAGCAGTGGGTTTCAGTAGACCTGCCTGTTCTGCTCCCTGCTCTGTCTCTGGGAATCCTGTAACCAATCCCTGCCCCTGCACCTCTGGCCTGCAGCCCAGCTCTTGTATGCATTAAAAGGAAAAAAAAAAGGAAGGTAACATAATCAGATTTACATCTCAGGATGATTATTTTATATCCATAATGTAGAGAATGTGTTAATGTGTTGGAGAGGGTCAAGACCCAAAGCAATAAAATCAGTTAAGAGACTCTTGGAAAGAGAATGAAGTGTGTATCAGTTTGAGTCCCCTCCTCAGTTATCAGCCCTTCTTTTTTTTTTTTTTTAAAGATTTATTTATGCATGAAAGAACTGGGGTGTAGGCCAGAGGTATGGGAGTGAGAAAATTCACCTGAGACAGAGCGGGGAGCAGAACAGGCAGATCTACTGCATACACTGCTGAGGGAGCATGGGGGCGACAGGAGAGGTCTGGTGGGCCCTGTGGGTCACTCCCAGGCCGGGGTGGACTCGTGCTGCAGTGGTTAGTGCTGCGCTCTAACCCCTTGCGTCACTTCATTGATTTTGCTTTAAAGGAAGTGACTTTTCTAAGATACAATCTTTATAAGAGACGGGGGTGTGACTTGGAAGGAATTCTCTACCTGTTCTTACCTTTCTGTGCCCTTTTCTCTTCCCTTCTGGAATGCACTAGAGTTCCTATAGGAACAGCAGCTGTTGTGTGACTGTGATGGGAAAAGCCACAGGACAGACAGTGAAGCAAGAAGACGGGCATCCAGGGACAAGACATTCCTGAGCAGTGGTGCAGCCTCGATGATTTACCATGGGGCCCCTTAGCCAGTGGCCTGTTAGCGCCTTTCTTTGTAACCCACGGGGTTAGCGTTTTCTGTTGCAGTGAATCCCGTCCTAACTAGCAAAGATGGACTCGCACCTGTAATATGCCGTACATTTTTTAAAAAGATCTATTTATTTATGTGTACAAGAAGTGGGGTACAGGCCAAGGTGTGGGGGTGACGGGATTCACCAGAGATAGAGTGGGAAGCAGAATAGGCAGATCAATGAAATACACTGCTGAGGGGAGCAGAGAGGAGCAGCAGGTGGGTCAGGAGTGGTCTGCCACACCATATGGGTCATCTCCCTGGCTGGGGAACAGACTCCTGCTGTGGTGGCTATGGACAGCTTCACAGGCTGCGCTCTCCCACTGTACCACCAGGAAGGGCTCTATGCCAGTACATTCTCAGCCCTTTTGTGTACTAACTTTTGGCATCCGTCAAAGTGGTCTCTGAGCCAGTAGCTTCATCCTGACCTACAAGCTAAATATGCTCATCTGGAGGCTTCACCCCAGGCCTGGGGCAGGGGGGTGTTTTAACAAACCCACAAGGCAACTAGGATGTATCCTGGAGCCTTACAGCTGTGTCTCTGTAGAGGATTCAGTATGAAAGCAAGAGCCGAGCGGACGGAGCCAGGAGCTCCTGAAGTCACTGCCAGACAGCACCGCTGAGCCGTGTCAAGTAGGACCATGTGCGCACAGGATTCAAGAAGCGCTGTGGGCCAGAGAGTCCTGTGTGTGTGCTTTCTGAGAGGGAGTGCATGGAGAGACCATATACCTGTGCCACCTCTCCCTGTCTGTGGGCGACAGGTAACTGGTATGTGAAGCCCATAAATGCTCCAATTCCTACCCAAGGGATGTCACCCTGGGAATCTCCTCCCAGCCCTTACTTGATTTCGACGGTGCTGCCCTGGACTTTGAGATGCTGTTGTAAAAAAGAATCAGCCTTGGAGGGATCTTGTATCTCTGGCATGTGGGAGAGACAGAATCATTAAGAGCCAATGTTAGAGAACAGCGTGTATAACTTCCAGGATGTTTTTCTAGGTATCACTCCCCTGAATGCAGTGAGTGATCCACAAATCCAAAGGAATAGTGAACAAAGCACAGAAATGAAACGAGCTTGGGAGAGAAGGCCCAGGGGAGGCAACTGTTCAGACCCCTATCCCTGCTGTTAGAAATGAGGCTGCCATGAACAACATGTGCAGATTTCTGTGTGGACATGAGTTTGTCCACTTATGTATGTATTTTAATTACATATTTGTTCTGTATCGTGTTATTAGATACCTAGGCACTGAACATTGTTATATCTCTTACAAAATGTCTCTTGACATGACAAAATGCTTCTCTGTTATAAAATGTCTCTGGTAATACTTCTACAATAAAGTCTACAGTATTTTTTTCCTGTTAGAGCTCGTACATCAACCCTTGCATAGTTCACCCTCATGCTGTATCGCTTTCTCTGTTCATTAATTTTTCTAGCCCTGGTCTTTCTCAGGATGCTTTTAACATCATAAAATTGCTGTTTTAAACATTCCTGTGTGTTCAGTTCTGGGCATTAAGCATATTCACAGTGTTGTACACCACCACAGTGACCCATCTCCAGAGCCAAACAAAAACTCCGAACCCCTTAAGTAAGACTTCTCATCCCCACCTTTCTCCAGTCTCTGTTGGAGGGCAGGGCGAGGGGCATCCCAGAACTCTCAAACCTGCCTGTCTAAATAGGTTCCGCAGCTTCCCTGTCAAGACAAAACATACTCTAAAGCATAGGACCCTCAATGGAAAGGAACGTTAATACAGCCAGTGTATAACAAGGAGATGCGAAGGAGAAGGTAAAGAAGCTTCCAAATCGTTACCTTCCTGGCGTGGGTAAATGCCCAGCCAGACAGGGTTGGTCCAAAGCAGGGCCGCAGAGGCCTGAAAACCTGTCACAGTCTAAGTCACCTTCTGGTGGGGACTCAGGAAAGGGGCAGAAGGGCCGAGCACGTCTGAGACAGAAAGGGGTTAGTCTCAGACCTGTGCAGTGATGGCAGCCACTGCAGCACACTTCGATCCCGGGCCAGGGAGTGACCCCCAGCGCAGCGACCTCTCCTTTCTTGCCCACCACCCCCTTCAGCAGTGGATTTCAGTTCTGTTCCCCACCTGTTCTGCTCCCCACTCTGGTGAATCCTCTCACTCTCCCACATCTCTGGTCTACACCCCATCTCTTGTATGCAGAAATACACCTTTAAAAAAAAAAAACCAGCAAAGTCAAAATCAAGATAAACCCTGCCATTGTTGACCTCCCCATAGGTCTGTCACCCACGTCTATTTCAACCAGTGCAGGACTAAGAAGCAAGAGCCGCTTCTTCACATGTCTCTGCCCCGTGCCCGCTTCAGGTCTCCTTTTTCCTCCTCCAGCCCCCTCTCCAGCTTCTCCTTTCCTGATGCTGGTCTACGCTTTTATGTGGGGCAGGGAACCTGGAACCTCCCTTTTCCTGGGGACCAGCCTGTCACAACCATGCTTTCTGTCTCTGAATTTGACTGTTTTAGGTATCTCACATAACAGAATCATAAAATACTTTTCCTTTGGGTCTGGCTTATTTCACTTAATGTTTTTAAGGTTTGTTTATGTTGTAGCTTGTATGAGAATTTCATTTTTCAGGTTAAATAATATTCCATCATTAATATGCGTACTGTGTTTTGTTTATGTGTTGATAGATGATTTGACTTAATTCCACATTTTGATGATTATGAAGAGCGGTGCTGTGGATTTTGCCATGCAAGTTTGAGTCCCTGATGCTCTTTTCAGTACACCCCTAAAGGTTGAACCGATGTCTTTCCATTGATTGGTGTCCATTTTCTCTCAGCAGTGTTTACAGTTTTCAGAGAACACCCCTTTCTTAGCTTAAGTTTACCTCAAGTATTTTATTCTTGCCGATGCTATTGCAAATGGAAATATTAATTTCCTTTTTGGAAATTTTGTTCATTGTTAATATATGAACACACAATTGATGTTATGTGTTGATTCTGTATCCTCCCATCTTGCTGAAATTATTTATTAGCTCATCCTTTTTTGTGGTGTTCTAAGGGTTATCTCCACATAAAATCATGTCATCTGCAAGCTGAAATAATTTAATTTCACCTTTCTAATGTGTGTGACTTTTATTTCTTTTTCTTCCCTGCTTGCTCTGAATAGAGGTGATAATAGTATGCTGAATACAAGTGGTGAAAACAGGGATTCAGATTTTGCTTTGGGTTAAGGTGCGGGAAGCTTCCAGTTCTTCCCTCATGGAATATGATGTTTGCTACGGACTTTTGTAAATGCTTTGTATCATGTTGACAAAGTTTCCTTTTGTTCCTAGTTTATTGCGCGTTTTTATCTGGAAAGAATGCTGCATTCTGTCAAAACACTTTTTATGAATCAATCAAAATGATCAAGTGCCCCTTCCACCTACGTTCTGCTAAGTGGTGTGCAATACCACTTACATGTTACGTTCCAGTAAATGGATACTTGGCGTGGCCTATAATCCCTTTAATATGTGGATGAATCAACTTTGCTAGTATTTTTTGAGAATTTTTGCGTCAATATTCATAAAGAATTTTTTTAAATTTCATTGTTTCTAATACCTTGTCTTACTTTGGGCAGGGGAATGCCAATTTCATAGATTGTGTTTCCTCCTTTTCAGTGTTTAGGAAGAGTTTGGGAGGACTGGCATTCTTTATTAAGTATTTGGTAGAATTGCCACTGAAACCATCTAGGTTTGGCTTTTCTTTGTAGTGAGTTTTTTTTTCTTCTATTTCAATATACTAGCTATAGATCTATGCAAATTTTTGTTTATGTTTCACTTTTGGTGAATTGTATTTTTCCAGTAATTTGTGTGGATTCCATTTACGCTTCTGATAGGCTGGGATACCACTTTTCATAGTATTCTTTTCTGATCATTTTCCTTTCTGTAAAAATCTGTAGTAATGTCCCCTCTGTCATTTCTATCTATTAATTAGAGTCCCTATTCATTACCTTTTTTTTCCTTTTTTTTTTTTTTAGTCAGTTCAACTAAGCATTTGTCAATTGTGTTGAAGTTTTCAAAGAACCACCTTTTGGTTTCACTGATTTTTAAATACTCTTTCCAGCCTGCACGTCCCGATGGCCAGGTCATTCTAACTGACTGCCCTCGTTTGTGTCTGATGGCTTTGTCAACAGGCCAGTCAGCTTCATGTGGGTTGTGTGTAGACATTTTTTTCATGCAAACATACTCACTAGACTGCAGATGGGCCCTTGGGAAGTTTCCCAGCCTCTAATGATTATGAATGGGTTTCTGGACATTCCAGTAAATAGATCTGTGAGATGTGTTCTAATTTCTACTAGACAACTATCAACCCCTAGGATGTAGGATGACTGGTTTTAGTGGCAGGAAAGCGAGGGATGTGAAGGTCCATCCCAAAACGCTAGAACAGAAAAATTCCAAAAGCTAAAGATTTCCTGGACATACCTTTCCGGTTCTAATTCCCACGTCCACGGGTGTTTCCGTAGTGTAGTGGTTATCACGTTCGCCTGACACGCGAAAGGTCCCCGGTTCGAAACCGGGCGGAAACACATCCCCTTCTCCTTTCTATTTTTCCTTTATTACTCTTTTTGAGCATTGTGTCATTTTCTCCTACTGGGAGTCCCCTTGTGAACCGAACACAAGCTTTGCATCAAATGCATGAACCTCTTTCTCCCTCCTTGAGCTGAGCCACACAACGGAGCGCACACCTCCTCCCCCACATTCCTGCGCCCCAGGAGTCGAAACCCTTTGGCCATTATGGGCCTTGATGCTGTCAACCCCTGGAAAGGATAAAGGCGCCCCGCACTCACGGATGGGACTGGCTTCCTCCAGGGCCCTCCCGAGAGCAGGCGGGCAGACTTTCTGCTTTCTGCTTTCTGCGCAAGGTGTTTTCTCAGGAATTTCTTCAGGAACAGATCCCGCTTTGAGCCGTCTCAGGAATTATATCTGCCGCTGCGCTGAACTGCTGAGACAAGAGGTTTTCCATGCACAGAGGTAAATGGCAGCATCTTCTGGACAGCGTAGTGGACTTAGAGAGTAATGGGGGCGGGGGGAGGGGTGGGAAAATGAGACCCTGCCTGGCCAGCGCGGGCGCTGAAACCCTATTGCACTACTCTCACGGTGCTCAACTCACGACACTAATTATTGACC